AACGGTCTTTGATTTAGTATGCTCCTTCTGCTCCTTTCAGTAATGCAAGCATGAGCTTTAATTTATTACTAATATCCATCGTCATGTATAGGCGTATCTACTAGGGGCATAGATCAAATTTTGGAAATACAGTATATCAAGATGACTAGGGACAAAATTAACCCTTTTACGTTTTGTTGTGTTCAATTTGTTTTTGTTCTTTTAGCTGAAGAGTTGTCTTTATGATGTTTATGAAGGCATTTTCAAAAATCAATAAAAGCCAAGTAAAATCACAAGAGAGTGAATTAAAGTTAGCAGACATGACATTGAAAATGACGACTACAGTTGTCATCAGAACGTTCTGGCATTTTGAGCAAATGATGACTAGTCATTACAAAAACATTAAAGGGTTAATAGTGATAACTTTTTGAGTACTGTACATCCTTGAGGCAGTAGTGTGACAGTACTGAAGCCATGTGATGCTGTTTAATGTGATGTCTCGAGGCTATGTGATGCTATGAAGTGTGGCATTGCCAAGGCTACGTGATGCTATGAAGTGTGCCATTACCAAGGCTACGTGATACTATGTGACATCATAGTGCTGAGGATACGTGATGCTATGTAGTGTTAGGGTGTTAAGGCTGTATGATATGTAGAGTGATGGTACTAAGGTTGTATGATGCTATGTTGTGTGATAATGTTGAGGCTGTGATGCTGTGAAGTGTTGACAGTGCTGAGACTAAATGACACTGTGTTGTGTGATGGTGCTGAGGCTATATGATGCTATGTAGGCTAGTATATATTGGATAAATGAGTGGGGTATCTTTTCGAGTACTTACCATTTTTAAGTACAGTATGTACTTACCTTATCCAATATCTATAGTTTTGTTCTTCTATTTCCTCTTGACTGATGCCTCCCAACACAATGATAGTGGGAAAGGGGGTTATAATGAAGATAACTAAGCAGCAGAAAAAGATTTCATGTATTTTGCATAGGATAATGTATATATTACTAATTGATACAATAGATATGACATAATTTCATGTTTGATTTGTAATGCATCTGTCTGTATATCTGCAAATCTGCTCATCTTCTAAGGCCTCTGCCCATGAAAGTGTGGAAAAAATGAAACGTTATAGTTGTATTCAAAAGTGTGGAAAATAAAAAAGTAAACGAGTCTGTCCTTATTATGGTCTGGGCAATAGACAACATTCCCTCCGGCATTAGTCAGCATCACATTGTGATGGGAGTCAGGGACCAAACAAAAAAATACTGGCTTAATAAGGCTTAATAAATTCCCCTCAAAAATCACTTTCTGTAGATTATCCTATACTGAACAGGATATGCAGTTCTTTGGAGGCACAGAATTGACATTTGTGTTGAATTGTTAGGAGGAACAGTTTACATCATTCATTGGAATTTCAATTATTTTTTTATGGGGACTTGATAACGTATTAATTTCAAGTAGCCGGTCGGCCGAGCGGACAGCACGCTGGACTTGTGATCCTGTGGTCCCGGGTTCGATCCCGGGCGCCGGCGAGAAACAATGGGCAGAGTTTCTTTCACCCTATGCCCTTGTTACCTAGCAGTAAAATAGGTACCTGGGTGTTAGTCAGCTGTCACGGGCTGCTTCCTGGGGGTGGAGGCCTGGTCGAGGACCGGGCCGCGGGGACACTAAAAGCCCCGAAATCATCTCAAGATAACCTCAAGATCTCAAGAAGAAGTACTATATCTCAAAAGTTAACAAATCTTCTTTTGCCTTTGTTTCTATTACTGTACAGAGGAGCCTCAATTAGCAAATTTAATCCGTTCCGGCACTGAGCTCGTCATTTGAAATGCTCGTCTTGCGAAACTAATTTCCCCATTTAAAATAATAGAAATAAAATTAATCCGTTCCACCACCGAAAAACATCAATATGATGATCAATTTTTTTTTCATATTAACTGGAGCAGCCTACCTGACATACACTGAACGAACATTTTGACTTTGATTTTTTTTAGGAAAAAAAAAAAATGCTTTGCAACATTACAGCAGTCACCCCTTTACATCCCAGCTTCATTAGCATCTTTTAAACAAAATTTCATTGATTTGCATCATTGGAGGCATCCAAGAATTTGCGAGAACCAGCAGGAACACTAGGAAGCACCACGTGGTTTTCTCGTCAATCGAAACAAATTTTCTGTGAGTGGCTCGCTTGTTATCTGAAATGCTCGTAGATGGAGCTGCTCATCACACGAGGTTCCTTTGTACATAAAAGTAGGAGGCACCTGGCTCAACTGAAACCACTGACTACATATCTATATGCTGTATGTCTGAGTACTGTATCCCAAATCTTTATCTGTAGCTCTTTATCTCTGTTTGTGTCTGAGTATCTATGGGCTTCTCTGTCTGTCTGTCTGTCTCTCCAATGTGTGCAAAGAGTAATGTGTATGGGATAATAATAGATTGAAGACAAGTGCCTAAACTGTTGGCATCTTTGGTCTTGGTACCTGTAACATTAAAATTATTCCTATATTTTAGAGATTTCTATAATTATCCTGAACAAGTTACCATGTGAATAAGGATCTGTGTATATGATTAAAGGAATAAACTATTACAGTTTAGCTGACGATTCAATATTTTAGTTCATGTTAGTGGCATATGAATATATTAGTTTGCATCATGGTCAACAAAACACTGCTGTGATTGTGCTTGCAGGACTGAAAGTTTACGTACATAAATCGTTACTCCATCTAAATATAATTGTTAGCATGATACCAGCTTAAAGTATGGCATTTTTAATATTTTAATCGTCTAAAACATTAACAAACCTCCCTTGTACATGTTTTGTGTGTAAAAAAAAAAATTACTGAACATTTTGTGGATAGAATCAGCTTGGATACACAGAGTACTGTTAAAGTGCCATGCACTGTATCCGGAAAGACGAATAATGGATTTCTTATGTCTATCCATAAATAATTACTGTCACTATTATTTTGTTAATACTTTTCAATATTTTTTTCTTTTTACTGTATTGGTATAATGTTTTAGCTTTTGAAAACATTTCATGGTGTGTGGTTAGCCTTGTGATCATGTAGTGATATGATGATATTTGTGTGGTGGTTAATTTCATGTAAATATTTTTCCTCATATTGCATCATAATTTAAGAAAAAATAAGGCACTAAATCCCATTTGCCAATCTTTGTACTTTATGAAAATTACAGGAAAAAAAATTGCTTTATTTTATTCATGGGTTTGGTGAGCATGAATAAGTGTGCAGTACACTGTAGCCACAAGGGTTCTCTGTTGTGCCGGGCCTCGCCGGCTCTGACAATAAAACGAATCTATTTGCAGTAACTCGGAATTATTATATCTTCTCCCCATTTTCATAAGTTCATTCGGAGACACTGGGTCTTGAGACTGTGGCAAAGTGATGTAGCAACAGGGGATGTGTTATCTCTATAGAAGTTTTGTTGGTACTGAAGGTTTAAATAATTGTTCATAACTTTTCCACTCTTATCTTCAAAGAGCTCTGGTAGTGTGAGCCTTAACGTTATATCTGCTGAAATTCTCTGCTTAATATCCTAGGATGTCAGCCACACACACCTCATACCATGTATGAAATGTCCAGAATGTGAACTGCAGTGGTAGGGTTAATACTGTAACTCTCAACATTTAGTGTTTGGCTGTGGCTTATACCTCATAATTCAATCCAATATTTAAAATGTTAAAACAAAGCCTATTATATATTTTTATTCTGTATTGAAGTATTTTAGCAAAATTATGTGCATTTTTGTGTGTAACTTAACCTAACCAAATCTTATTTAACTTCTTATGACTTTACCTTAACAAATTAAATTTAACATCCTGATCTAACCCAATATAACATAATACAGTATTGCTATACAGGGCTTAATAAATATAATAATAATAATTATTGATAAAAAGTATTTCAGAATGTTTGAGTGTAATCTTTACATAGGTACAGTATTTATATTTTTTATAAAGCCACTTTGTCAATTTCTATGAATAGTTTCCATTTGCATTATATTCATTGATATATACTTTATATTGGTAAGAGTACTGGTCATTCGTCAGTAAATATAGCTTTAATTATTCTGTATGTTTTAGTCAAATTAATTGTGTAACAATTAATTTAACTGTTACATAATTTAGTTATTATACAATTAATTTGTTATACAATTAATTTAATTGTTATACAATTAATTTAATTGTTTCACAATTAATTTAAATGTTATACAATTAATTTATATATAGATACAGGTCATTGAAAAATTGTGAAGTTAGGTAAGGGGTCCCTTAAGATATGGTTTCAATGCCAGGGTTTAACCATTGTAAATTTTGTGTGATTCCAATATTTTGGTAGTAAAAATCATGCAAGCATTTATAATGTTGTGACTGCTGTGTGTATATATATATATAATTAAAATGATCTTTTAAAATAATTCATTGTTGTAAGAATTTTTCAAGAAACTGGATATTGTCAGAATTACAGGACTAGTATATCTTTACATGAGGTATGTTCATGGGGTATTAATTTGTTAATGCTTCACTCATATTAGTATTTCTTTGAAGAGTCGGTGCAAAAAAAAAAAAAAAGATGCAGCAATAAAGAGGTGTTGCATGGCTATTTTGCTTGGTGCATGCATAAATGGTACTCTTGCTTTTGTTTGTCTGTGGTGAATGTGTATGTTGTGTTTCCTTCATTTGCTTTCATTGTGATGTATATTACTTGACGTACTTTCTTTCATAATGAAAAACTTGGCTTGAATGCTTTGTCTTTCTTGTTTTTGCAAATTAATTACTTGTAAATGTCAGTGCAAAGTAGAATTCACATTTAAATTATAAAATTCCTTTGATTAACACTTCAGTGACAAGTCATTTAAATATTTTAAGATCCACAAAATATATCTTAAGTTCTGTACAGATTAAATTGAGTAACTTAATTATGAGATGTTTGTTTTGTATGATGATTTTGTTTCAATACAGTACTAATGTATATTTAACTGATTTTTCAGGATTAGGTCTTGACCAGTTCAAGAAGTATGATCCAAAGGTAAGTTGTTTTGTTTTTAAATATGGTGAAGTAAGTTTGTATATTTAATGAAGCTTTGGAATTCTGGTGGAGAATTCCTTGTTTTGTTAACAATAACAAGTACAGTTTTATTATTATTCCATCATTTTGCTTAAAATTTGTTTAGTCATATCCTAATAAAGCTAATTATTTACTGCTTTAACTTCATTGTTGTTTTGAAATATTTCTCTGAAAGTATTTCAGTGACATGTCCGACTTTACTAAGGGTGGTTATTCAAAATTCTTGAGTTTGTTCAAATATGAGCGCAGTATAGTGTGTGTATTTGTGTAATTGCCTAAGTGTAGTTACAGGATGAGAAGTATGCTTGTGGTGTCCCATCTTCCCACTACTCTTTGTCATAAGACACTATGAAACTACTGACAGTTTTGACCCCCTTCTCACTTGTTCTATCCACCTACCCCACGGTTTGCAAGAGAGAACTTCCTTATATTTTTTCAGCACCTTTGTTTCTTAAGCTTTAATCTGTGACCACCCATTCTTGAAATTGCAGATTTAAAACATTTCTCTTTGTCAATTTTGTCAATTCTTGTTACTATATTGTACATAGTGATCATATCACCTCTTTTTCCTTCTCTTCTAGCCTTGGCATATTTAACACCTCTAGCCTCTTCTCATAGTTCTTCTTTACAGGTTTGGAAGCCATTTAATAGCATGTCTTTGCACCTTTTCCAGTTTATTGGTGTGCTTCTTGAGTTATGGGCACCATACAACTGCTGCATATTCCAGTCTTGGTCTCACAAATGTTGTGAACAATTTCTTTAATATTCACAATCCATTTATTTAAAAGTGATTGTGGAGTTGGAAAGCATAGCATAGGCTCCTCGCACAATGTCCTTTGTGTGGTTCTCTGATGACAATTTGCTATCCAGAATCACTACAGATAACTTTATCTCTCTGAGTTCTTTAATGCCTGTTTATATCATTTGTAGGTTGTGGGTGGCTTATTTTCTCCTGTTCCACATTTCATAATATGGCATTTATTCGCCTTGAATTCCATCTGCAAAGTGTTGCTCCATGCACATTGAAGGTAATGGCAATCGTGTAAGTCTCTTATCTTCCCTAGTAGCTTAGCATCATCAGAAAACATGTTCATATATAGGAATTCTGTCTGGTTGATCATTTATATAAACAATTACTGATGCTAGAAATGAACCTTGTGGTATGCCACTACAGTAATAACATTACCCCAATCTGATACATTGGCTCTCATTACTGCCCTCATTTTCTGTCAGAAAATTGTTCAACCATATCAAAAGTCTTTCTTTCATCCCACCAGCATGTACTAGCTTCCAGTACAACCTCTTGTGTGGGATTCTTTCAAAATCTTTTATTGGATCCATTTAAATGCAGCCAACCGAACCATCTCTTTCTTGTAAGATCTCTATGGTTCTATCATAAAAACTAAGTACAGTAGATTTGTTACACTGGATCTCCCTATCCCAAAGCCATACTGTGTTACTTTGTTATTTCTTTCCAGGTATTTTACCCATTTGGTTCTAATTGGGTTTTTTTTCTGGTGATTTGAATACCACTCTGTCAGTAATATAGGTGTATAATTTAGGGGGGTCTTCTTTGCTACCATTTTTGTAGATTGGAACCATGTTTGCCATTTTCCATATATCTGCTAGAATTCATGTATGTAGAGATGCCTGAGAAATGAATTGAAGTGGAATACTCGGCTCGGGTGTGCATTCCCTCGGAACCCAAGGTGAAACTCCATCTGGGCCAACTGCTTTGTTTCTTTCTGACACACTTCTGTATGCTCAATATTGTTCTCTGAAAATGGCATTGTGTTTGGTTCTCTGAAAACCTCATTTTGCATAAACACACTTTGGAACTGTTCATTTAGTTTTTGCATACCCGGTTGGTATTTCCTTTTCATTCTTTGTAAAGCTATTCTGAATTTTTATCCCTTGGATTTTATTCTTTATGTGTAATTTGCTTTTAAGGAGCTTATAGAAAAGGTTTGGTTCTATTTACATTTGTTTATCCCTTTTCTCAAAGTTTCTTTTTCCCCTATTCTCACTGTGAGGTTATTTCTTGCTTGTTTGTATTTATGGTATGTTTGAGGGTTGAGTCTCTTCCTATATTGACTCTGTTGTTTGTCTTTTGTTCTCTGATCCTCTCACAATTTCTGCTGAACCAGTTCTGCTTTTTAATTTTGCATCTCTGTATTGTATAAGTTTTGTTGTGTCTTCATCACATCATCTCTCAAAATGTGGCATAAATCTGATGCATTTTCCCTGCGTAACCACATCTTTCCACTCAAATTCATGAAAGACCTTTTGTAAGTTATTCATAGTCTGTCTGGAAATAGTTTTTTAACTGTTTATTTTTTTCCATTCTCCTCTAGATTATAATGCATAGCATAAATAATTTCCAAAATGACATCGTTGCTCTTGCACAAGGGAGGAAGTTACTGACTGTCAAGTATCTCTTCCTCTTTCCTGGTGAATACCAAATCCAGCATTCATGGAGCATCCCCTTCCCTCATTCTTATATTCTGTTTAACATGTTGATACATGGAAATCTCCAGGATGACGTTTATAAAATGACCAGTCCAATGTGTGTATGTGTGTGTGGCTGGCTGTCTTGATATAAATATGAATAAATAAATAATGACTACCAAATAGCTAAAGTTGCTTAACATGCTGAATTTTCTTAAATTGAATGAATATGATATACAATATTCAAACCAAAATTTACTTAGCATCCTGACCTAACCTAAATACAGGTACTACCTATTATTCCTTAATTTGCCTCTTGTAGGAAAAAATGTGACTAATTAATTTGGTATTTAATGTAACTATCAAATTATATTAAATATATTAAGTGCAGGCAAATAAGAAAATGGGCAAAAGCAGCCCTTGCCCTGTAAGCCTAGCACTTAAGTGCAGGTCTGGCTATTAGGTATATCATATATTTATGTGTATGTATGTAGTATATTTATATACAGTATGTTTGTATGTGTATAATATATATACACATCTGTATACATAATATATATATATATATATAGAATATACTGTAATTTGTTTAAGGGTTTGTTTTAAGGCCAATTTAATGAGTAGTGTATTTCAGCAGGAGTAGAGCAGCATAAGGTTAGATGTAGACTTGATAAGATCTAAATATAATTCTCCTGAAATAATAAACCCCATTGTACATTATACCTGCTTAAGAATTAAGTATAAGCTTATGAACACTTTTATAATACCAGTACTTTGCTCTATATATATAGGAGAAACTGTCATATTATACTGTATACACCATTTCCCACCGTTTGGTAGGCAAAGCCATGAATTAAATTGGACTTTGAGTTTTGACTTTAATTTTCTAAAGTTTTAAATGCAGAACTATGAATCGTTGTGAAAGTTTTACTTAAGTATCTACATTAGCAGTACAATACTCGGGCCACGAGTGTGACAGGCTAACCCGTGCTGTCACTGCAAGACGCCGGTATGTGGCACGTTCAAACTTTCATGTGCATGCCGGTCTTCTTACTTTAGCTCTGTGGCTTTACTGAACACCTGTTAACATATTTTCTCAGTTGGCCCACATACAGACACTCTTCGGGTCAGTGTATTGTGTATTCATTGCTCTTCTATACAGTAATATTTACTTCCTTATGTATAGAACCTAGTATTACTAGGTTAGAGGGATAATACTAACCTAGTTATGTATACTAACTAGGTTAATACTAACCTAATATTACTGTATAGAAGTTTATTTATTTACTTCTATACAGTAATGTAATGTTTCTCAATGTAATATTTGATTTTCTCTCATAACACACTGTATAATACCTACATACAGAGAAACTTACTAGCCAGCTATGCTCCACACCATCAAGTGAAGATCATAATAGATGCATCTCTTATTTCAGTTCTTACCAACTCAATAACGACCTCTGATTTATTTATATTTTTTATTGTATCTCCAATTTGCCCATTTCTTAGCATTCATTCTGGTACTTCTACATCATTCCATATTTTTATTAAAATTTAGATGCACAGTAGTTAGTACTCAAACAAATTATTTGAGCATCTTGCTGTGCCTGTTCAGTTTAGCACTAAGCATATATCTTCCCAAAAAGACAGTTATCTGCCTTTATTTTTGTATAACCCGCAAAATCTGGACTGACTCGTTACAGACTAGTTCTAAATTAGGAACAATTCTAGATTTCAATGTGAATTCTTTGCGGTTATTAATCCCTACTTATTTGAGAGTTTTATGTTAGCAACTGATAGAACAGATCTCTGCATATATCTAGACAAATATAATAAATGATTGTATAAAATATAATAATACAAATATGTTAGCTAGTTTTTACTTAATGAAGATTATTATTACTGTACTGTATCCAATCACCCAAGCGACATTCCGAGCAACCGACCGACATAACTACCGACATCCTGGCCGACATCCCGACCGACTAGGACTATGCCGAGTTCTAGTTTTCTGTTACTGTACCTAAATTTTTTTTCTCAATCTGAATTGCTTATGGAATTATAAAGCCTTTCCATTAGCAAAGTCTTTATGCTATTTGGAGGTTTCCATTGGACGGGGGTCTGGATTTTGGAGGTTAAATTGGTAAACACTACTGTACCTAAATTGTGATGGTTACTCTAAATACACACTTTAGATATCTTCAAAACTTTTTCTGTTTTTTCATTCATTTATATCACACAAAACTAAAAACAGTATCTCTTATAAACTACTTACCAGTGTGTAATTCTGAAAGCTTCCTTCAATCTTTTAATTTCCGTATTACAGTACTGAGTGAGGACTTTTTTGTGTGTGTGTCTTTTTATTATGTATTTTCTGCTTAGTAACATTATGTCTATCCCATTAATTTATAATCATATGGCTTTGATGCTTGTGGAAGAATACAGATCAAGTTACATTTGGGGAGGGGGGGAGGGATGGTTAGAGATTCAGGTTAGAATTCATGTAAATATAAAATAGTCTCGGCTAAATTTTGAAAGAGTGTTTGACCTGAAACTTAGTACTGTAATAAGGTTTCTTTATAAGGAGACAGTTGAGATTGTATAGGGGACTGTGTTTTAAAGTAGTCAAAATATTTGTCGTTATAAACCATTTATATCTGCTCATTAATTTAAATGTTATGTCCATTGACATAAATTAGTATTAAAAGTTTCTAATCAAGTTCAAGCATGTTTATTGAGACAAGAAAAAATACATCTCAAAGGGACAGAGTAGCTTAGGCTATTTCTACCCCCAAGTTTCTAATACAGTAATGAAAGATTAGTAAGACTGTGTTTTGAGTTAATAAAGCAAAGGTTATGATCACAGTTTCTGGATGCAATTTTGTGCTTGTATTCTGTTTAAGAATTGTATTTCTACCAGTTGCAGTGACTTGGAACGTGACTGTTCAATATTCTTGATTTTCCATATATTTTTATATAAATAATTATAGGAAAATATAGATTAGATTTTGAGAATAATAATCACTAACACTGGACAAGTTGTTCCTTGATTTCTTGAAGGTTCTAGAGTTGTCCACATGTGCTCCATAACTAGCTTTCTTTAAGAGTTCTGTTAAAATGTTCGGCAGCTACTTCACAAAAATGTGTATCAAATTAGAATTTATGATACAAAGTTCTACAAAGTAATTACATAGAGACTGAAGAAATAGAACACAAGTTAAAGTGTTTATGCCAAACTGAAGAAGTGAAAATGGTGAAAGAAGTGAAAGCAATACAATATATAGGAAAAATACATAACACTTTTTCATATCTGCAAAATTAAAAATGGCAATTAATATTGAACCTGTACTTACAAGAGAATGATCATGCACAGAGTATGACAGTTTAGCAAAATCCTTGAAGAATATGGAGCTATGTGTAGCACCCCAGTGAACCACATGAAAGTTGAAGATCTGGACAGCTTCTTTGCGAATGATATCCACAACTCTGACAACATAACTGATATTAACACAAACACTGGAGACAATTATATTGGAGTTGACAACATTACCCATGAACTTGGCCCTTAGTCTTGAATCCTGGAACTCCATACAGGTACAGTAATTATAAAGAAATGCAAAGTACATACCAGTGAGGTGAGGGATGAAAATTCAGTTTACTAACAGATTGCAAATAGTTGCATTAAATTAAATAAAAGCAAGTAGGTGCACACTGAATCCATTGTACTCTAAGGCACTGTCTTTGCACTACTGCTATTTCTTATCCTTATTAGAAATAGAAAAATATACAAATCACTTCCTTAGCAGATAGTACCAAGTTCAGCATGAAAATACTTCGGTAGATAACAATAAAAAACTACGAAACAGTTATAACATCTTCCTCTGAGCAATAGACGATTTGATAATTCAGTTTCATCGATTTGATTTGATGATTTGATTTTCAGTTTCAAATCATAACATGATTTGAAACTGAAAATTTTCAGCTACAATATTTATATATGCAAACAATTAAGAGAGTAAACAGAATGCATTTAAAGGATAATATTATCAGACAATCTAATATTTAGTGAGCATAACTAAGTAAGCAGACAATCTGCCAAGAAAATGATTAGAATGGATTAGAAGAACCATCAAATCAAGGAATGCCTCAATAATGTTTGTTTTCAGATCACATGTGCTTTTCCACCTTGAGTATTTATGGTACTCACTTTCCCTCTTAAAGCAGGAGAGATTTGTAAAATGGAAGGAATATAAGGAACATATATTGCATAAATAGAATAAAGCACCTAAATTATGGGGGCTATTTCAAAGCACACAGTGTACTCTCTGTATGGAAGACAAGAGTGATTATCACATGATAATATAGTATATACATGGATGATACTGGAAGGCCAAATCCATATATGCACAAGAAGAAAACAATTTACTGGAGAGAATGATATAATGTGATAAGAAATGCAGGACAAACCCAGTAAAAGAGTAGAGGCACCAAACCTTGCGTATGGTGCCATAGACACAGTGAACACTGTACAAGCATCAGAGGCCCACTGCTCTGCAACCTTCTGTCACCACATTGGCTGAATAGAAAAGGTTTTCAGGAAGCATTTGATTAAGTTCTTGCAGGAAGTACCAAATCATTTCGGTTATAATAGTTATCTGGGCATGCGGGGCAAGCCAAGCAACAGCTTTTTCAGATAAAGTTATCACAAGACACTTGTGGGAGTGGAACTCTCAAAACTGACTACAGGTAAACCCATTGTTTAAGCAAACATGTAAATTTCTTTCTGTATTTTTTATAAAGTAAAAAATCCAGCTGGTTTAATACCTGGGAAGTGAATATTGTTAAGCATTTTTGATGTGTTCTAGATGTAATTTTATTGTTTATTATTTTAATATTTGTTGCATTGTTTACTCTAGTATGAATTTGCATGAAGCAATATTAAATGTGTTTATAACTTGTAGTTTACAATACTGTATACATTTCTTAATACATTTATAATAGTCGTGGATGTCCTTAAACAATGCATGCTTATCTATGGAGGTACTAAACAGGTACTGTAATATACAAGAGATATTTTACAGAGAGTGAAGTCTCCAGAAGTGGATGATATATCAAGAGAGATCTTGGAGGAGGAAGAAATGGTAAGTGCTCTTGTGTGTTATTTATGAGACCGTGGAAGCAAGGATGAAAGAACCAAATGAATGTAATACAGTACAATAAAAGAAAAGCATGTGGCAAATGGAGAATACAATTGGTAAATTTTCAAGGATTATTTGAAGTGTAACATATACTCATCAGTATGAGGTTTAAATTTATTATTAACAAATCCTACTTAGCTGTACTAGAAAGTGTAAAAGATTGTGTACACCATGAATAAAGATAAGTAAAATTTAAATGTGAAATTAATTTGCGGCACAACAAATGCTGGTGTTTTATCAGTAAAACAAACATGGATTATATATTGACCATGATCGTGTTTAAATATGAAAATATTGCAGTCATGTTTATTTGTTTTGCTTTAATTTCACTGGTATTTACTCTAATGTGAATGCAGAAAGGGTCGAATGAAAATAGAATCACTTATGGAAGATGTTTGAGTCATGGGATGTTACTTCATTTATTTGATGTAAATTTAGTAAATGATACTACACTCAAAACAGCTGATTAAGGTACTCTACTTAAAGTAAATTTTAACTTGTGTACGATTAATATATTGAACTGACATATCGATAATCATTATCTTGAGCTCTTTAAAAACTGCTTCAAGATAAATAAAATACATATTTCTGTGGGGAGCCCCTATAGCTCCCTGGAGCTATCGGGCTAATATACGATACATTGGACCAGGGCTTTAGTCAATGGAATTCTGCCTACCGGGAACCACGAGCCAGAACCTGGCCCCCCCCCCCCCTCTGAGAGGCTCAGGGAGCAGTGGCCCTGGAAAATCTGCTTGTGGTTGGGGGTTTACTTTAACTGCTATCAACATGAGTTAGGCACCCAGAAAGGTAGATGTAACAATACAGACCCCACAAGGTAAGAAAAATGCAAACAAAAGCCAAACAGAGAGGTAGAACTCCCTCCATTCCCAAGGAAACAAGCAAACATCACACCACACCAACGCGTCGCTTGTCCGTGCAGCCTTTTCCCCCTTCCCATCTCCCGTAAAGGTATTCTTTATTCCGACTTTTACCCAGTTATTCATTCCTCCATCCTTACCCGTTGGCGGGATTGTTGGTCTTCTGTTACTGGTAACAAACTGCGTACTCTTAAGAGTAGTGTGTCCTCATGGCCGTCCTTCTACCACTGTAACCGGCGATGGGAAACAGCTCTGGCGAGGTTGCGTATTGGCCTCACGGTCATTTAATGGAGCACCGCCCTGCTCCTTATTGTCCAAATTGCATTGTCCCTCTTACGGTCATGCATATCGCATATCCTTGTTGAATGTCCTGACTTCCGGGAGTCTTGTTTTGCGATCATCCCTCGATAATTCTTGGTGAATCGGATACTTTTGATATCGTTCGCCTTATGCGTTTCTGTTCTCGTATTGGCATCCTTGGTGATATTTAGCGCCCTCTGTTTATTCTGCACATTTGATAGTGCTACACAGCTTTTCCGGTTTGGTGCCTTTTTTTTTATAATTACTTACTTACTTTCCCCCCTTCCCAGACCCACCGTGCCTACTACCCAACCTCAGTTCATTGGCTAAAGCAATCCAGGGTGGACGTCATCTTTGGCTTCGGTGTCGAAGCAGAGTTTACCTATGTGGTGTCTTCTGTGGTGTCGGTGTGTGTGGTGGCCAGGTGTCCTCAAGAGTACCGGGGCTGCATGTGCTTAGGGGCATTCTTCCCCAAGTGCCCTGTGAGTACTACCCTTGTGTGTTAGGGGTTTCTTCCCTGGTGCGTTCGGGAACCAATTCCGTAGGGGTGTTTGCTGCTTGGCACTTACTCTGCCCTTGGAGCTAGCTGAGGTTTCGTGACCCATGTTTGGCCTTGGGTAGGGATTGGTATCGTGCCAGTTGGGGCATCAAGGTGTTGTGCAACCTGCCCACCTTTGCGTCGGCCAGTTCCTGTTTCCTCTGGGGACGTTGTACTTTTGCAGGGTTTTTGTTTTCCTTGCCTGGTGTGGCTATAGTTCCACTTATATGTTTGGCCCTCTGCTAGGTCCCCATGCTTCTATCCTTCACAGGGGTTTCAGAATTTTGATCCCCCCCCCCCTCCACCCTTGTTAACTTTGGGTCTTAACCAGTTAGCAACACCTTACCGGGCTTCCTGTAACAGTAAGCCTACGGGCCCTGGAAAACCCTGTCGGGGCTCGGTGGACCTATGGATGCATCTTCCAAGTTCCAGCTCATCTTATGCAAGTTTGCAGGTTGCTGTGTGCCCTTGTCTCAGGGTGATAGTCACTGTTTTTGCCTCTGTCATGCTGCCTGTAGGGTCACCGACAACCTTTGACCCGGAGTCTTGCGAGTTGTGGTCTCTGCATGTTCTCCAGTTACCCATTCTGATTACATGTATATTGATAAGCGGGTACAGGCAGCAGTCGTGTTGCATTCTAGGTTAGGTTGCTGCAACACACTAGGTTGGGTACCAACTCGTATGCCCTGAGGCTGCCCCATTTTGGTTAGGAGTTGTTCGCCCTTCGCCATTCCCCCCCCCTCCCCCTCCTGTTCCCTACTCCAGAACGTCAGGGCGGGGTTTAGTTTATGATACTCGGGCGGCTTCGGGGGCTGCCCCATTCGGGTTGGGGACAAGGGCATTCGAGCCAGCATATTCCCACATTTGCTGGCATGATTTCGGCTCTCTTGCATCAGCCGTGTCTCCTTTTGTCATTTTCTTTTCTGTAGGTCGCTTCTCCGCCAGGGTGATGCTGCAGTTTGTTTGTGCCCTGCTTTCTGGAGGAGTCTCCCAGGTTGTCTGCAGGGTTCTTCAGTCTAGCCAGCCTGAGGTCAATCTTTGTGCCCACGATGTTCAAATGTTTGTTGCCCTGGCTGCCGTCTTTGCTGATGTCTTGGGCTGTTATTCAGGCGAGGGGATTTTGGAGGTCGTGCAGGGTCCTGGCCGCCCGATTTTTTGTTCATATTCCTGGTCCTGGGCATTCATGTGTGACTTTGGGTCACAGGTTGCAGCCAGTTGTCTCGCTTTCGAGTTAAAGAGCATGTGACGACCACCTCCGGGGTGTGCCCCTCTTTTACTTATCCTTGGTTATGTAGCTCCAATGAGCCATAGGGGTTCCCCACAGAAAACCAGCGTTGAATGTAATGAAACGCCATTTTCTGGGTGAGCCCTGGAGGCTCCCTGGCACCCTCTCTCCCTCCCTCTGGTCGGCAGTTTCTTTCTGCTTTTGATGCTTAGCCTCCAAACTGAGGTTGGGTAGCCAGCACGGTGGTCCGGGGCTCCCTCCTCCCCCTACCCTGGGGGGAGCTGTGCAGACAAGCGATGCGATGGCGTAGTGTGATGTTTGCTCGTTTTCTTGAGAATTGAGAGAGTTCTACCTCTGTTTGGCTTTCGTTCGCATTTTTCTTACATGTGGGGTCTGTTTTGTTATGCCTATCTTACTGGGTGCTTAACCCAGGTCGATGGCACATAAGGTAAACCCCCAACCACAGGAAGGTTTTCCAGGGCCATTGCTCCCTGCACCTCTCTGAGGAAGCCAGGTTCTGGCTCGTGGTTCCCGGTAGGCAGAACTCCATTGACAAAAGCCCTCTTGAGGTTATCTTGAGATGATTTCAGGGCTTAGTGTCCCCGTGGCCCGGTCCTCGACCAGGCCTCCTTTTTGTTACACACCCCCAGGAAGCAGCCCGTAGCAGCTGTCTAACTCCCAGGTACCTATTTACTGCTAGGTAACAGGGGCATCAGGGTGAAAGAAACATTTTGCCCATTTGTTTCTGCCTCCACAGGGAATCGAACCCGGAACCTCAGGACTACGAATCCGAAACGCTGTCCACCCAGCTGTCAGGCGCCAATGTATCGCATATCAGCCCGATAGCTCCAGGGACCCTCTGGGGCTCACCCAGAGAATGGCGTTTCATTACATTCAATGCTGGTTTTTTGTGTTTCTATGCTATAGCCTCCTTGATGGCTCCCATTTGTGCGTTTAAGTACCTAAGTGTAGTTACAGGATGGAGAGCTACACTCGTGGTGTCCCATCTTTCCAGTACTCTGTCATATGATGCTTGGAAACAACTAACAGTTTTGGCCTCCACCACCTTCTCACTTAGCTTGATCCAACCATCTACCACTCTGGAAAAGAAAACTTTCTAATATTTGTTTGGCACCTTTGTTTCCTTAGCTTGAATCTGTGTTGTCTTGTTCGTTAATTTGCTAGTTTCAGGAATTCCTCTTTGTCAATTTGGTTGATTCCTGTTAGTATTTTGTAAGTGGTGATCATATCGTCTCTTTTTCTACTATCTACTATCTTCTATCTTTGGTCTGTTTAACACCTGTAGTCTCTCCTCGTAAGTCATTTGTCAGTTCCGGAAGCCATTTTGTAGTGTGCCATTGAACCTTTTCCAGTTTATTTATGTGCTTCTTGAGATTTGGGCACCATACAACTGCTGCATATACCAGTTTTGGTCTCACAAAAGTTGTGACTCACAAACAGTTTCTTTAGTATTTCACCATCCATATAATTAAAAGCAAGTCTGAAGTTGGAAAGCGACGCATGCGCTCCTCTCGCAATGTTCTTTGTGTTTTCCTCTGGCGACAGCTTACTATCCAAAACCACCCTTAGGTCTCGTTCTTTATTAGAGTTCTGTAATTCTTTTCTACATAATTTGTAAGTTGTGTATGGTCTATTTTCTCTGATTCCACATTCCATAACATGTAATTTATTCACATTGAATTCCATTTGCCACTTGACGCTCCAAGCACTTGTTTTATCTAGATCGATTTGAAAGGCATTACAATCATCTGCGTCTCCTATCTTCCTCAGTATCTTAGCATCATCTGCAAACATGCTCACATAATTCTGTATTCCTTCTGGTAGATGTGGGCGTGTGTGTATATTTTTGTAAATACAAGCTTTGTTCTGATAATTCTTTACTTGCCCAAAACACTAAGTGTGTTAGTGGCTGTGTGAGAATGTACCATATAATCAAGAGCTGTACTAACACAATCTATTGTGCCATGCTTGCATATATATA